TTTTCCAGGTGTATATAATCATGTATCTCTCCCTCCTGCGTTCCAGGGAATACAGGTTTAGGAACCTCAAGTGCTCCCAGTAATTGAGGTGTTTTATCTCCGTTATGCGCGCCGTGAAAGTTCTCTGTACATTTTCTAGGTCAGAAATTTCACCTGCCTTGAAAGGTGCTGTTAGTGTGCAGCAATATTCCAGCCTAGATAGAACAAGTGACCTGAAGGGTGTCATCATGGGCTTGGCCTCCCTAGTTTTGAAGGTTCTCATTATCCATCCTGTCATTTTTCTAGCAGATGCGATTGATACAATGTTATGGTCCTTGAAGGTGAGATCCTCCGACATGATCACTCCCAGGTGACAAAAGTGACCTAATCTGCGGGAAACGCTCAGCATAACAGCTATGATCTGTATAAGTTGTAACATGTACGTGTAGAAATAAACATTATTATTATTATTATTATTATTATTATTATTATTATTATTATTATAAGTACCTCCATCTCTCCCAAATTGCAAATGGCGTCTCCTTAACACTCTCTAATTTGACTAATTTTAATCTCAATTCGCTTCCCTCATGACTAACGATAATATCAAGAGTCACTTACGGAATTCAACGCTCGTTACCTTCTATATTATAATTTTTAAACCGCTTAAAGAGGTAAATTATTATCTCTTTTGATTATTATGACGTCAGAAGTCTCTTTTCATTGGTTCTCCTGGAGGCAAGATATGACGTCATCGATTTATCGTCCAATCATATTTTTTTAGCAATTTTTAATGGAAATTTAAGCTAAAACAACGTCCGGCGTCACAACAATATTCTGTTCGAACGTATTTTACCTATTTTTTTTTAATTTTGGGTTGTTAAGCAACTCGTAGCTCTGGTTAAATATTGTCTAGTTATTTAGAGGAAGAGCTGAAAAAATTGAGGTTAGTGGTTCCCAACTGAAGGACCCGGGATCGATCCTGGCACGAGGGGAAACGCTGGACATGCCATGCACCTTTTTCCCCTCTTCACATCAATAAATATGTACCCAGAGTCTAGTTGACTACTGTGGGTGGCATCCCGGGGGCGGGGATTGTCAATACACCTTAGTAAGAAGTTAGACTTACCTAGCATGGGCCAGTAGGCCTGCTACAGTGCTCAGTCTTGCTTATGTTCTTATAAATCAATTCTCTGCTTACTATTTTTGCAAAAAGTAAATTTTTGAGGGCCCCCAAGGCGTATCAAGACTGCTTTGGTGCCCCTGAGGCCCCTGAGGCCCCTAATATTAGTGAATTTTTCATAATTATTTCTTCTAAATGAACTAAAAATAGTTGAAATTACCAAAAACTCAAATAAAAAATAAAAATTAAACGTTTGTGGCTACGGAGGCCCCTTCAGAGGGTCACAGCCGGGCCCCAGACCGGCTGTGACACCTTATCGGCCTCCAGGAGCGATATACAGAGGTAGTACAGAATACACATATAACCCTCACATAGTTGAGAGAAACACTTATGACGACGTTTCGGTCCGTCATGTAAATGGTCCAGGTGGGACCGAAACGTCTTCGTAACCCTTATTGTGTTTTCTGTTTTTTTCCAGGACTAAATAGAACATACAAAGGCGTGTCAACAGGCACAATAACCCTTCCGACTTTACCATAGTTTACCCTCCCAATATTTCACTTATAAAATTGAAAAATAAATATTAAAAAAATATAATTTATATGGATACAATTAAAATTATTATTTAAAAAGGCAGAAGAAAAAAATAATAGACTAGTAAATATATAACTATGTATTTAAATACTTCCATAAATACGTGTAGTCTTCGCCATGACAGTCAGAGTTTTTGTAAATTACGACACCCAAAGCCCCTTTGAGGCATCGACACCATGCCTAACTCTTCTAGGGTAGGGTAGGTGCCTGAGCCCGAGCCTTTAGCTCATAAGACTGTCATTCCCATTAGCCCCCTTGGGGCGGGGATGGCAGACCAGAGAGGCCTAGCTTGTGGCTAGGCCTGGGGACAGTTGGTCCCAAAGATGAGGAGGTACTTGTGCCTCCTCCCATGGGAGACTTAGGTCTCAGACACTCCCTAAAGAGGGAGCCAAGGGGGGGCCACCACTTGGACAAGGCCCGGGCCGGGAGAATACCGGCTAATCTTTAACTAACTAACCCCTTTGAAGATCGACACCATGCCTAACCCTTCTAGGGTAGGGTAGGTGCCTGAGCCCGAGCCTTTAGCTCATAAGACTGTCATTCCCATTAGCCCCCTTGGGGCGGGGATGGCAGACCAGAGAGGCCTAGCTTGTGGCTAGGCCTGGGGACAGTTGGTCCCAAAGATGAGGAGGTACTTATACCTCCTCCCATGGGAGACTTAGGTCTCAGACACTCCCTAAAGAGGGAGCCAAGGGGGGGCCACCACTTGGACAAGGCCCGGGCCGGGAGAATACCGGCTAATCTTTAACTAACTAACCCCTTTGAGGATCGACACCATGCCTAACCCTTCTAGGGTAGGGTAGGTGCCTGAGCCCGAGCCTTTAGCTCATAAGACTGTCATTCCCATTAGCCCCCTTGGGGCGGGGATGCAGACCAGAAAAGGCCTAGCTTGTGGCTAGGCCTGGGGACAGTTTGGTCCCAAGATTTAGGAGGTACTTATACCTCCTCCCATGGGAGACTTAGGTCTCAGACACTCCCTAGAGAGGGAGCCAAGGCCGGGCCACCACTTGGAAAAGGCCCGGGCCGGGAGAATACCGGCTAATCTTTAATAATAATAATAATAATAACCCATCATTAATAATCATAAATTAGTGTATTAATATTATGCATCAGAAATAATACACAAATCTGGTTTTTATATATATATATTAAATCATATAAAGAAATACAATAAAACATCGTGTATATTTCAGCTGGATTCACATCGCGTTGCTACGAGCTACAGGTAGAAACGTTCCAGGACAATTTTATCTTATGGGACAACGTTTCGCTCTCTTGTAGTATTTTTTCATGGTTTAGAATAAATGGTATAAAATACCACCTCGATGGAAAATAAACACAAATGCAGCATAATGCGATTTTTTACTGACAACGTTTCGCCCACACAGTGGGCTTTATCAGGACAAACAGATGTTTATGACTTGATAAAGCCCACTGTGTGGGCGAAACTTAGTCAATAAAGAATCGTGTGTCTACTTTTGAGTCTACTTTTCCATAGTTTAGCTTAATAGGGAGCGAAACCTTGTCCTGCAACGTGTCCCTTTTCCCCAATATTTTCTCCACATTACAACTAGCTACCAGACAACTAACGCTAGTGCAAAACCCACATACACTATAGATTTTTTTTTTTTTGGGGGGGGCGTTTCTTTATATACGATATTAATATAAAAGGCTTCACTTACCATGCAATTGATTTCCATAACTACACAATCGTGGCTAGTATGTAGGCACCCAACAGCAGGAAAAAACTAGGTATTTCCCTTTAGCAACGTCTACAACCCGGTCTTAACGGGTGCTAGAAGGGTTTTGGCCACACCTAGTCCAAATAGACTGGCTTCACCACAAGCAATTTATGGGATGTTGGCTGGTGAATATTAGGCTGCAAAGTTTTCAACAACTCGAGGGTCGTAAGGCGTATGTCACTTGTATACTTCCCAGTCAAGGATACCTGAAGCCTTGACATTTAAGTACTTATTGTGGGACGGAGAATCCGTTGAGGTTGTGGTAAATACTAATTTGAAAATAAGAAATTCGTGTTTATTACAGACAAAAAATAACACGACACAGGAGAGAGGAGCTTACACGACTTAACCGGCCGACTTGAAACATTCACAAAGTCACACTGTGACTTTGTAAATGGTGCAAGTCGGACCGATGCGTCTTCATAAGCTCCCCTTTCATACGTACGGGTTATTTGTGTATTGTTCCAGTCACAGTCAAGTACCTTTTTCTTATTTGTTTACACACGTATCTGAAGGTAGTGTAAAGCATGAAAACGGCTAACGTTTTATTTCTTATTTTCACTGTCGTATTTTTTCATACTTGTAATCACGCGTTTTATTGTGATTTCCACCATGTTTCCGTGTATCTCTCCACTCTATTCACAAATGTATTCGAGTTACTTTATACAGAAATCTCTGTCACAGTGACTTCATGGATGCAGTCTATGATCAATTGTCCATCATTCAACCCGGGTTTTCATATATACCTTGAAAAAATGAGTTGAATAGCATTTACTGCCGTCAACAATGAAATCTTGGCCCCTCCTTAACAACAGTCTGTGTACCAACCTTAAATTTTTTGAAAGGAGGAAGATCGTCAAAAAACATTAGCATATTAATTTCACTTAACCTTTGGTAAAACAGTAGATCGGGTGGAAAAATGTATCCAAGGATGGGGCGTGGGGTGACTGGCGAGCTCAGGGCACCAAAGAAAAACCTGGCCAGGGAATGGGATATTTGAATTAATAAAGCAAGTTTTAAGGTGTAATTTGCGTGGGAGAGCAAGTTCGTCCCCAAATTGGCGGGCTTTATTCTACCGTATTAGCTAGGCTATAAATGACCCGGGTTTGGGAATTTTACGGATATCGTTTTCCGGCATTAAGGGCACGATCATATGAAATATTAGAAAAAAGTACTAACGTTAGGATGAACGTTAGTAAACAACTGCTAAGTGTAACCAAAGCTACTCTTGACCCTGACCTTGAGCATATAAGACGCTGGATGATTTTCCAAGACCATTTGTGGGGATAAAGTGCGCCTTATATGCCGGAATTCGTCAGTGCCGGGGATTTTTACAGTCACAGACCAGTAATGAGACACAATATAAACACCTCGCTGGTACAACAGATAACGTAGGAATAAACTGTTCATAGCTTCATGTCCTTGTTGCAAGCAACGTTTCGCCCACCAGGAGCTTTGTCAAGCTTAAAGTTACACAGGTTATGTACAAAGAATAAAAGATTAGTAAAAAAAACACCGAACGGGAGGGGTTTGAACCCCTGGCGAGGAATCCGTAAATAACAGTTATTGGTTGACAGTTATTAGTTGACAGTTACTACTTGACAGATATTGGTTGACAGTTATTAGTTGACAGTTACTACTTGACAGATATTGGTTGACAGTTATTATTTGACAGTTACTACTTGACAGATATTGGTTGACTTTATTAGTTGACAGTTACTACTTGACAGATATTGGTTGACAGTTATTAGTTGACAGTTACTACTTGACAGATATTGGTTGACAGTTATTAGTTGACAGTTACTACTTGACAGATATTGGTTGACAGTTATTAGTTGACAGTTACTACTTGACAGATATTGGTTGACAGTTATTAGTTGACAGTTACTACTTGACAGATATTGGTTGACAGTTATTAGTTGACAGTTACTACTTGACAGATATTGGTTGACAGTTATTGGCCGACAGTAATTGGGGCTACGAACAGTTGTTAAGAACGCTTCTGACAGGTCCAAACTGTCGATGTTTTGGGTAACTGTCTTAGAATTAGCTAAGTTTAGTAACACTTGTTGGGAAACAGGACAAGTGTTTCCTGACGCAGGTCTTAGTCATATGACCCACAACTGGAGCTTTTGGTCATCTGACCGAAGCCTTACGCTGGCTTACACCTCCATCCATTTAAAAATATAGTTATGATTATATCTATTAGATCTATATATATATTATATCTTCAGCTAGTCTCTGTTGATCCCTGCACCTCACCGGTCCAGTGTATATATCATAACTTGGCCCAGTTATGCACTTAATCCTTGGTCAAGTTCCTGGTTTACCTAACGTAGTATACAAGATAGCATCCTGAAGTTTACATGTGTGTACTTTTCACACTCACAGGTATGAGAGGTGTACACACACTCAACACACACATGAACACCCCACGGAACGGAGAGGATTTAAACCCATGGCAAGCCAGTACTAAAACTATCAGGCCAATGCTTTAACTACTATACCATGCTAGCCTATTACGACTCACCCAACCACTTATATTTCTCTATATGTACTAGGAAGGCTAGACTGGGCCCCACTATGGGTGCAAATGCAGGCTTTTACAGACGAATCTCACACTGGTATGGCTGTTGCAAGATCTAAATAGAGCTCCTTCAAAGATATTATTAATGAATATCGAAATCGTAATAATGTGACTGAACAGGCAGGACTGAAACCCATTGACAAGTCGGCCCTACAATAAGCAGCCCAGTGCTCTAACCACTACATTAATTTTTATGGTTACAGTGGGGTCCATGACAAGCTCTCTAGTGTACAAAAATATACCTAGTTTAAATCCTGCCCGTTCTGTGAGTCATTAGCTTTATCTCTTGCAGCTATGGCAGAGATCATGTTACTTCCTGTCTTTCAGCAGGAGTCTCCCTAGATCACCTCAGTAGTACTTGTACTTCAGCAGGAGTCTCCCTAGATCACCTCAGTAGTACCTGTACTTCAGCAGGAGTCTCCCTAGATCACCTCAGTAGTACTTGTACTTCAGCAGGAGTCTCCCTAGATCACCTCAGTAGTACTTGTACTGAAGCAGGAGTCTCCCTAGATCACCTCACTAGTACTTGTACTGAAGCAGGAGTCTCCCTAGATCACCTCAGTAGTACTTGTACTGAAGCAGGTTCTCCCTAGTCACCTCAGTATACCTGTACTTCGGGCAGGAGTCTCCCTGATCACCTCAGTAGTACTTGTACTTCAGCAGGAGTCTCCCTAGATCACCTCAGTAGTACCTGTACTTCAGCAGGAGTCTCCCTAGATCACCTCAGTAGAAATTGTACTTCAGAAAGATCTCCCTAGATCACCTCAGTAGTACCTGTACTTCAGCAGGAGTCTCCCTAGATCACCTCAGTAGTACTTGTACTTCAGCAGGAGTCTCCCTAGATCACCTCAGTAGTACTTGTACTGAAGCAGGAGTCTCCCTAGATCACCTCAGTTGTACTTGTACTTCAGCAGGAGTCTCCCTAGATCACCTCAGTAGTACTTGTACTGAAGCAGGAGTCTCCCTAGATCACCTCAGTAGTACTTGTACTGAAGCAGGAGTCTCCCTAGATCACCTCAGTAGTACCTGTACTGTACTGCTCTGACATGGCTGCAGAAATATGCAATACATCCAAATGACATCATAATATTATCTAACAATCAGAACTGACAAGGACATTGTCAGCTGATATTCACTGCGAGGAAAAATGTGTAAAAGAATTTCTTTTACAAAGGTAACTGTAAACAGGGACAAAAAAAAAAATACTTTTGCTAAGATAACTGCAAACAACAGGGACAAAAGCGATACTTTTTATAAAGATAACTAAACAATAGTGGCGAAAATTCTCCTTTTGGCGAAGATAACTGCAAACAATAGGAACGAGGAATGGGTAGTGGGTGGAGACGAGGTTGATGGAATCTTAGAGTGGGTTGGAAGTTGGGGTTGAGTGTGCTGGACGCTGGAGAGAGTCAGGTTGTAGTTGTGGGCTGACAGTTTAACCCAACCTGGGCACAGTTGATCTGGGTACCACATTGGCTATCAGGTCAGACCAGTACACGCTGTAACTATTCAAGATAGTCCCCCTGTAAAAAAAAAAAATAGGCATTAGTAGGCTGTACCATAATTCTATCTCCAGCTGCCCCCATACGTACTTAATATTTATAAGAAAACAGTCATATAATAATATTAATTATGTAAGATATCCACAGTACAGTGGAACCTCGGTTCTCGAACAACCTTCTGGAACGAATTGAGTTCGAGTACCGAGGTTCCACTGCAAAAGGGAAATTCTTAGGAGAATATGTCCGTATGGACAAAAGTATTTAGATGACCTTTTGACCTTATTTTTACTGTGGTAACCTTATGTACTCTACATGGAAGATGCTAAGTTATCAACCAGTACTAATTATGTCATGTTTCTCAATACACAACTGTTTTCAACACACTTCTACAGCACCGCAATACTTTTTTGTAGCTCGCTGTGGTAACATCAGCAAGTGTTTCAACATTTCTCAGCTTGAAACACGTCTGTCAACATTTCCCAGCTTGTCTCAGCCATTGAAACACATCCCTCAACATTTCCCAGCTTGTCTCAGCCAATGAAACACATCTCTCAACATATCCCAGCTTGTCTCAGCCAATGAAACACATCCCTCAACATATCCTAGCTTGTCTCAGCCAATGAAACACATCCCTCAACATATCCTAGCTTGTCTCAGCCAATGAAACACATCCCTCAACAAAATCCTAAACTTGTCTCAAACCAATGAAACACATCTCTCAACATATCCCAGCTTGTCTCAGCCAATGAAACACATCCCTCAACATATCCCAGCTTGTCTCAGCCAATGAAACACATCCCTCAACATATCCCAGCTTGTCTCAGCCAATGAAACACATCCCTCAACATATCTAGCTTGTCTCACCAATTTTAAACACATCTCTCACATATCCCACTTGTCTCAGCCAATGAAACACATCCCTCAACTATCCTAGCTTGCCCCCAATGAAACACATCTCTCAACAATTTTCCCCGCTGTCTCAGCCAATGAAACACATCTCTCAACATATCCCAGCTTGTCTCAGCCAATGAAACACATCTCTCAACATATCCCAGCTTGTCTCAGCCAATGAAACACATCCCTCAACATTTCCCAGCTTGTCTCAGTTACTGGAACACATCCCTCAACATATCCCAGCTTGTCTCAGCCACTGAAACACATCCCTCAACATTTCCCAGCTTGTCTCAGTGTACTAAGTCTTTCAATACATCCTAGCTAGCCTACTGTAGCACCACACTAAGATCATCTTTCTAGTATTCCACTTCCTAACTCACTGTCTAACCCACAAATTTAACAACAATAACCCTGACTAAACCTTAACACACTCTCACGAGGCCAGAAAAAATACAATCGCGAATTCAGCTAAAAATAAAAGGAAAATTGTATAATACATCCTAAGGTACGGTTAATGTTCCGGTTTCTCAAGAAACCGGTTTTGAGAGACCACTGAAAGTGGTTTCTCAACTGAGGTTTTTTTGACCGCTTTGAACACTTAGACACTCCACTTTCCTGAATCTGCAACTCAACGTTTTTGAATAATATATATATATAAATATATAATATAAATATATAAATATATAATTATAATATATTATAAAATATATAATAATAATGTCGTCCGAATATGTAAAACTGGTCAATAGCAAGAACTCATTTAAATTTAAGTCCTTTATAAAATTTTCTCTTATAACGTTTAAAAGATATATTTTTTTTATTAATGTTGATGTAAAAATTTATAATTTTGTACCAAAAGGAACTTAGAAAACTTACTAACCTTATTATAACAAGAACAATTTATTTTAGCGGGAACCAACTAAATAATTTAGATTTGTTTACAATAATTTTAAATACTAAAACAACACAATCAAATATATTTTTTTTTCGTTAGGTTCAAATGATTTTGGCGAATTAATTGCATACACAAATTTTCACTTGTCCTATATGGCAAGATGAACGTTGCTATTTTTAAACCCCAAAATCGCAAGTTCTGCCTATTCGGCACGACATATACATATATTATATATATATATATATAATATATATATAATATATATATATATATATATATATATATATATATAAATATAAAAATATTAGCGAGAGTGTTGCGTTTCCTCTGATTGGACCCAAAGTTAATAATTAATATTGTGTGCAAATATTTTGTTATTCACTTAATATTATATTACCGATGACATTATTATTAGCTAAAATAATGTCTATTGTGCTTTATAGTATTATCTGCCCTTATATTGTTAGCTATGTTGATAGGCAGGTTGTTTATTTAATTGATAGTCGCTACACTGAGTAGCAACCTTGTTCACTGTCGTTAGGTTGTTAGTGTGTGGCGGTCCCTCGCACCGTCAGTGTCACCAGGTATTGTAAGGCTTGGCGGAGTAGTCTCAAGTCAGTCCGGGCTTGGCGGAGTAGTCTCAAGTCAGTCCAGGCTTGACGGAGTAGTCTCAAGTCAGTCCGGGCTTGGCGGAGTAGTCTCAAGTCAGTCCGGGCTTGGCGGAGTAGTCTCAAGTCAGTCCGGGCTTGGCGGAGTAGTCTCAAGTCGTCCGGCTTGGCGGAGTAGTCTCAAGTCAGTCCGGGCTGGGCGGAGTAGTCTCAAGTCAGTCCGGGCTGGGCGGAGTAGTCTCAAGTCAGTCCGGGCTGGGCGGAGTAGTCTCAAGTCAGTCCGGGCTGGGCGGAGTAGTCTCAAGTCAGTCCGGGCTTGACGGAGTAGTCTAAGTCAGTCCGGGCTTGGCGGAGTAGTCCCCAAGTCAGTCCGGCTTGACGGAGTAGTCTCAAGTCAGTCCGGGCTTGCGGGGTAGTCTCAAGTCAGTCCGGGCTTGGCGGAGTAGTCTCAAGTCAGTCCGGGCTTGACGGAGTAGTCTCAAGTCAGTCCGGGCTTGGCGGAGTAGTCTCAAGTCAGTCCGGGCTGGGCGGAGTAGTCTCAAGTCAGTCCGGGCTGGGCGGAGTAGTCTCAAGTCAGTCCGGGCTTGGCGGAGTAGTCTCAAGTCAGTCCGGGCTTGACGGAGTAGTCTCAAGTCAGTCCGGGCTGGGCGGAGTAGTCTCAAGTCAGACCGGGCTGGGCGGAGTAGTCTCAAGTCAGTCCGGGCTGGGCGGAGTAGTCTCAAGTCAGACCGGGCTGGGCGGAGTAGTCTCAAGTCAGTCCGGGCTTGACGGAGTAGTCTCAAGTCAGTCCGGGCTTGATGGAGTAGTCTCAAGTCAGTCCGGGCTTGACGGAGTAGTCTCAAGTCAGTCCGGGCTTGGCGGAGTAGTCTGAAGTCAGTCCGGGCTTGGCGGAGTAGTCTCAAGTCAGTCCGGGCTTGCATAGCCAAGGGAGCATACCTCACTCAGTTATCTCATAAGAGACGTGTCAGGTTCTCTCTTGTGGTCGTTTTCCTTTCATACTCGACTCCCTTTCTTAAGCTTGTCACTTTCATACTCGACTCCCTTTCTTAAGCTTGTCACTTTCATACTCGACTCCCTTTCTTAAGCTTGTCACTTTCATACTCGACTCCCTTTCTTAAGCTTGTCACTTTCATACTCGACTCCCTTTCTTAAGCTTGTCACTTTCATACTCGACTCCCCCTTTTTTAAGCTTGTCACTTTCATACTCGACTCCCTTTCTTAAGCTTGTCACTTTCATACTCGACTCCCTTTCTTAAGCTTGTCACTTTCATACTCGACTCCCTTTCTTAAGCTTGTCACTTTCATACTCGACTCCCTTCTTAAGCTTGTCACTTTCATACTCGACTCCCTTTCTTAAGCTTGTCACTTTCATACTCGACTCCCTTTCTTAAGCTTGTCACTTTCATACTCGACTCCCTTTCTTAAGCTTTGTCCCCTTTCATACTCGACTCCCTTTCTTAAGCTTGTCACTTTCATACTCGACTTCCTTTCTTAAGCTTGTCACTTTCATACTCGACTCCCTTTCTTAAGCTTGTCACTTTCATACTCGACTCCCTTTCTTAAGCTTGTCACTTTCATACTCGACTCCCTTTCTTAAGCTTGTCACTTTCGAGTATACTCTAGCGAATTAATCTTTCAGTTGACTGAACAAGCCTTGTTGGCCTTGTGGGTTAATTTGTGGTCTATGCTCTTCTAACTCATGCTGGATGGGAATGAGACTGAGTCCGTCACTTACGAGTTCTGGTATACTCTGTTATTTCTGGTATACTCTGAATTGATAATTCAGCTAAGTTTTTATAACCATTGTAAGTTACTTTGTGGATAAATCTTAATAATCATTATAGGTGCATATTATTGGTGAACTTAGTACAAATTTCGACCTCAAGAGTTTCATTTATTTATATCAACGTACTGGTACGTACCAAGAGAAATGTAAGAGTTAAACTCCTTATTTTATGTTAATCCTAACATTATATTATACATTAAACTAAAACTCTTCTAGTAAACATTCCAAGTTTTAGTTACTTGTTTCGTAATCCTGAATTCTAATTAAAAGTTATTGTTACACATACACATATACACCAAACTGTGGCAGACCTGGGTTCGACCCCACGTCACATTGTCACCCTGGCGTGCCGCCGCAGTTTGCTAAATGATTAAAACCACTTGTTTCGTGGTTTCTCTCTCTCTGTTACAAAACTCGTCTTATTAACCTTCTCCAATGTTATGGTAGAGTGGAAATAAATGGTATAAAATACCGACACAATGGCAATATAAACACAAATGCAGTATAATGTGATCCTTTATTGACTACGTTTCGCCCACACAGTGGGCTTTTTCAAGTCACAAACAGAACTACCTGGGGTGGAAGGAACGCGAGTATTTATAGCTGAACCACTTGCCAAGAAACTCCTTCATCGCTATCCCACATAAGAACACTGTAGAAGGTCTGCTCACAAACTTGTCCAATCTCCTTTCCAAGCTACCCAAGTTTTTAGACTCTACAACCCAACTCGGTACATCATCAGATGCAGCATTCTTCACCTGACCTCAGCCGGACTATAAATACTCGCGTTCCTTCCACCCCAGGTAGTTCTGTTTGTGACTTGAAAAAGCCCACTGTG